AAGCCTGTTATATCCTGGTTAGTCTGACTGTGCACCTGGGCCCATAACCAGTGTTAGGGATATACACCCTAGCAGAACGTGCAACGGCAGTCTAGCAGGCAGGCAGATATGTGAGACAAAACGTTGTAGTAGCTTATACTCAGTAAGACAGATACACTGTGCAAGTTAAATAGTTTTTATTCCAGCAAGAGTTATAGCATAGTCAAATAGTCCATATGTCATACACTAAGTTCAGTCAGTCCGGGGGTTATTCAGTTTGCAAAGTCCAGTGTTGAAAAAGAGTTCATTAAACTTACAATCAATCAGTCCAGTGATATATCTGTTTTGCAGTCAGAGATATGAAGAAAAATCAAACCCCTTTTCTTCTCTCAGCAAACACGCAGTTATCACCATCAATCCATTGTCAGCATTCCAGTAAAAGCCAGGGAACAGTGAGCTCTCTTGCTCCCTCTTATGGTGATTTTACAACCGCACCCAAAAACTTGGTTTACAGTTTAAAGTGATACATCACTTAAACTCACTAACATAGTTTATATATTATTCTACCCAAACTAAGTTAGGTAACCAATGTTATCCCTAACAGGGTGGGACTGCACATTCATAATGAGGCAGAAGTTAGTACCTTATCTGTTAGAAAACCACTAGCCAGGATATTAGGAACAAGAATAGCTCGCTTATAAGAAAAAACCCCAAAACCACATAGCTGGCACATGTAACTAGGGATACCCATGACCTGGGGTGAAAAGCTGTTTAGCATAACAAGCGTAAAGGTTTAGGGAGCTGATATCCAAATAACCAATCAATATTATCTGTTATGCATGCATTATTAGTGGAAGGGCAAAGGGTTGAATGTGACCACACCTTGACTATAAAAATTGCTGTAAGATTGTAATCAGGGCCTTGTATCTTGTATCCTTATATCTTGGTACCAAAATAAAAGTATAATTTATTATACTTTTATAGTTCTCACAGAAGCGAATATATCTTTATAATGGATAGAGGCTAATATAGTGCTGATCCCAAAGGAGGACTCAAATCAATCATTAATTCAAAATTATAGACCAATTTCATTACTGAACACAGATTATAAAATATTTGCTTATATAATAGCCGAACGTCTGAAAACTTTCCTTAACACTTTTATACATACTGATCAAAAAGGCTTCCTACCCAAAAGGCAGATAAAGAACAACATGAGAACGATATTAGATATATTAGAGTATTATGAAACTCATAACGAAAAACAAGTGGCACTGCTTTTCTTAGATGCCCAAAAGGCATTCAACAATATAAATTGGGAATTCAACTGAGGCATATGGACTTCGGCGACGGATTCATTAAAATGGTTAGAGCAATATATACAAAACAATAGGCCAAAGTAATAATTAATGGGGAGGTGACACGAAAATTTACAATACAAAAAGGTACAAGACATGGTTGTCCACTATCCCTGCTGCTTTTTATCTTAATGTTAAAAGCAATGAAGAGAAATATCCAAAAAGAGGAACAGATTAAAGGATTGGAAATCAGACAAGAAAAGTATAAATTATAAGCTTTTTTGAATGATTTAGTCTTTATTTTAGAGAAGCCTCTAATGTCTGGCGTGAAGCTTATGGAGGAATTGGCAGAGTATGGAGAAGTAGCAGGACTAAAAATAAACAAGGGAAAAACTAAAATGTTGGTCAAGAACATGAAAAATAAACAAAAGGAAGAATTCACAAAGGAAATGAATATCCAAATAGTGAAAAAGGTGAAATATTTAGGTATATACCTAACGGCAAGGTGTATAACTCTCAGAGAAGATAACTACACTAAATTAACAAATCAAATTAAGATGGATTTAGAAAGATGGAAGAACCTGCAAATTTCTCTAATGGGTAGGATAGCTGTTCTAAAAATGAATGTCATATCAAAAATACTCTTTTTATTTCAAAATATTCTGATAAAATTAGAGAAAAGCTTCTTTTGAATCAATTAATGTCAAAATTTATATGGCAGGGAAAGAGGCTGAGTATTAAGCTGAAATTAATGCAGGTAACTAAAGAGAAAGGAGGATTTGGCCTGCCTGAATGGGAGTTATACTACCAAGCTGCAACACTCACTTGGATCACAGTAAGGAATAAAAGATTTCTAACGTTGGAAGGTCATGATATCCAAGTGGGTTGGCATGCTTTTCTGTGGTACGGAAAAGGTACAGCACATAAATATTTCCAGAGACACCATCTAAGACAGGCACTATTAACAGTATGGAATAAAATTCCAAACACCAAAATTATATGGAAACCCCTGTTTGGCCCTCCACATTAAAAGCACTAATACATCCTAATTTGATAAACATGGAAAATTGTTACATATAGAGACATATTGAATGAGAAAGGAGAACTGAAAACAAGAACAGAACTGATAGCGCAAGGGGTAAATTTGGAGTGGTGGTCCTACTTACAAATACAGTCGAGATATATTCAGGATAGGAAAACATGGGGCATTAATACAGAACCAACAACACTAGACAAACTGTTGACAAGGTCTGATGACAGGGTGCTGTATAGATATCTATTTTTTAAAAATAATAATAATACTTTATTTGCGGTCACAGACCAAAACACAAGTGCAACAAAAGAAGAACATGGGAAAATTAGTCATGAACAATTGGTCACCAAAAACTTGATTAAGGGGAATTACAGCATTCTCCTCTGATGGTTACAGCTCTTAAAAAAAAATTGGAAACCTGAGAAATGATGTATGAGGAGCCATCCCCTAGACAATATAAGAACAAATTACTAACATTGGGTCTAGAAGGGTCTGTTTCAAGGAGAGACAGTAACTTAGATCTGCCTGTGTTATACATAGGGCAATATAAAA